TCAGCAGTTCAAGTTCACCAGACACTCCTTGGAAACCCTATACAGGGTTGCTGTGGGTTGGAACCAACTCAACGGCACTCACCAACAACATGGACAAAATATTGAGTGACACAGCAAGCATCAACAAATTATAGAAAGAAAACACAGAGACACTGCACCAAAAAAGAATTGGTCAGCATTCAACCATCTCAGGAAGTAGCATATGATCAAGAACTGATCATACTAAAGGAAAAAAGCCAAACTACAATGAAGGCATTTGTGGAAACTGTTGTTGTTGTTAAGTGCTATCGAGTTGGTTCCAACCCATAACAACCCTGTATAAGGTTTCCAAGGAGTGGCTGGTGATCTTGAACCACCGACCTTGTGGTTCAAATGACTTCGCAGTCCAGTGCATTAGCACCACTCCAGGACTCCTATAAGGCTCCAGAAATTGTTAGAATATCAATTGAGATATTTCAAAAAATGAATGCAGGGCTAGAAGCACTCAGTCATCTTTGCCAAGAAATTTGGAAGACAACTCCCTAGCCAATTGATTGGAAATGATCCATATTTGTATCCACAACAGAGTATGGAAATTATCAAACAATACCAATAATATTACATGCAAATAAAGCTTTGCTGAAGATAAGAGGGAACTTAGAAATTCAAGCTGGATTCAGAAGAGGACATGGAAGGAGGAATGTCATTCTTGATGACAGATGGATCTTGGCTGAAAACAGAGAATACCAGAAAGATGTTTACTTGTGTTTTATTGACTTGAAAAAGCATTGTACTGTGTGGCCCATAGCCAATTATGGATAATAGTGTGAAGAACAGAAATGTTGGAACACAAGAGGCAATCCTTCAAACAAAATCAGGGGATATTAAATGGTTTAAAAGTAGGAAAGTTGTATGTTAGGATTGTATACTTCCAACAGACTTATTTTAGCTATATGATAAGCAAATAATTTGAGAAACTGAACTATATGAAGCAGAATGTGGCATCAGGATTGGAGGGAGATTCATTAACAACCTGAACTATGAAAATAACACAACCTTGCTTGCTGAAAGCAAAGAGGACTTGATGTACTTACTGATGAAATTCGAAGACTACAGCCTTCTGTGTGGATTATATCTCAACATCAAGGAAACGAAAATCCTTACAACTGGACTAATGAGCAACAATATGATAAGCGAAGAAAGGATAGAAATTTTCAAGGATTTAATTTTACTTGGAACCATAATAAATGCCCATGGAAGCAGTAGTCAAGAAATCAAAAGATGCATTGTATTGGGCAAAGCTGCTGCTGCAAAAAAAAAACTCTTTAAAGTGTTTACAAGCAAAGACATCGCTTTGAGAACTAAGGTGCACTGGACCCAAGTCATGGCATTTTCAGTGGCCTCACATGCATGAGGAAGACCGAAGAAGAGTTGATACCTTTGAATTATGATGCTGGTGAAGAATATTGAATATACCGTGGACTGCCAGATGAACAATCTGTCTTGGAAGAAGTATAGCAAGAATGCTCCTTAGAAGCAAGAATGGCAAGACTTCATCACAATAGTTTGGACATGCTATCAGGAGGGGCCAGTTCCTGAAAAAGTGCATCATGCTTGGTAAAGCAGAGGGTCAGAGAAAAAGGGGAAGACCCAACAAAATTGATTGGTACAAGGACTGCAACAATGAGCTCAAACATAGCAATGATTGTGAGGATGGTGCAGAACCAGGCAGTGACTGTTCTGGTGTACGTGGGGTTGCTGAGTCAGCACCAAACAACTAATATTGTTATTAGATGGCAACATCTAATAGCAATAACTCTGGCTGCAATTCTTCCAACACAGATCTGTTGATTCTTTTGGCAACCCATGACACGTTCAATATTCTCCTCCAACATCGTAACTCAAAAGCATCAATTTTTCTACAGTCTTCCTTACTCACTGTCCAGCTTTTGCATGTATATGAGGTGATTGAAAATACCATGGCTTGGGTTAGGCGCACCTTAGTCCTCAAGCTGACATCTTTGCTCTTCAACACTTTCAAAAGGTCTTGTGCAGCAGATTTACCTAATGCAAATTTGCCTGACAATATGTCATACTTTGGATATTTGTCAGGAGGGACCAGTCGCTGGAGAAAGATATCATGTTTGGTAAGGTCAGAGAAAAAGAGGAAGACCCCCAGTGAGATGGATTGTCAAAGTGGCAGCATCAATGGGCTCAAGCGTGGCAACAATTGTGAGGTTGGTCCAGGATCAAGTAGTGTTTTGTTCTGTTGTGCATAGGGTCGCTATGAGTCAGTACCGGCTCAATGGCACCTAACAACAACAACAACAACAACAACAATACCATTTGTGATATGCATATACAACCATATGAAACATTTCTCTCAAGTTGAGAATTTTAAGAGTTTTGTCTGATTATTTTTTCATTCTTAAGTTCTGTAAATTACAATTTAATAGTTTTCTCCTTCTTTGAAGCATTTTTAGGTATGATTCCAATTTTGTAAAATTATGTCGTCTAACTCATCTCATGTTAATGGTAAGTACTGATGAGTGATGTAATATTTTGCTGTCTTTATAATTTCCTGAATTGTTTGAATTCTTTATAATAAGGATTATCATTTTACAAACTTACTTCAGTATGTATATAAAGAAGCAGACGTAGAGAACAGAGATAACAATAATATTGAGTGCTTGCTATTTGTCAGGAATTGTCTCCAAACCCTTTACTTGTGTTAGAGTGAATCCTATGAAACTGCTGATAGTTTATGTTTCGACCTCCAAAAATGCTATTTCATTTACTCCGTCAATGCTTGAACAAGCCTAGAAATGGACGTGAAAAGCCAAAATTGCAAGAAATGGAAAGAGAGATCCAAGTGCCATCTTTCTCTGCAGAGGCCATGGGTCCCCAGCCAAGTCCTCTGGACTTGCTCTCACTCTCTGCGTCACGGTACACACACATCTGCCTTTAAGAGGGGACATCAATCGTCAACCTGAGCACGGGGTAGGAAGGGAGGACATGCGGCTGTGTTCTTAGTCCAGCTTCTGGATGAAACCCTTTCAGGTTTCAAGGCAGTTCCCAGAAACAAGAGCCGAAAGAGAAGCTTGGGCACAAAAACTCCCAGTGAAGACCCCTTCCACTTCCCCCCAACCCAGGTACTGAAGCAGGACACACAGTTCCATGTTTATTTTCAGAAAGTGATGAAGACAAAAGAAATACATCCAGACACCACTCTCTGTACAATAAATAGCCTCCCCATTCCAAAAAGAAAAAAAGCACACGCACACATACAACAACAACCACAAACAAGACCCTGTTTCTTGATTTGGGCACCATCCCCTACCTCCCAGCCCCTTCTTCTGAACCCCATTCTTCAGAGAGGACAGAGCTTAGGCCAGCTGCCCCAAGTCACCTGAGTTCTCTCCTTGACCCTGGCTGGTGGACTGTGATAAAATCCAGGAATATTTATTTTTAGATCAGGGATTAGCACACATGCAAACAAAAAATTCTAGAAGGTACTTTACAAAGGAAGAGAGCTGAATGTCCAGTCCCAGCCTTCTCCCACCTGAAGGAAGAGCACTCCACTGTGTCCAAGGCCTTCTTTTTCTCTGTTGTCTGTTCTCCAGGTGGGACTCTAAAATCAGCAGCAGCACCAGGTAAATGGCTGTAGTTAGGGCCAAAGAAGGAGCAGGGACACAGCTCACACAGCTCATCATGGACCAGGAAGCAGCAGTGAATCCCAGAATCCTTCTTGGCCCCAATCAACTACTATCCGGAGAAGCGACAAAGGCAGCTGGGGACTTCTCAGTCCTGAGTCTGGTTTCTAACTTGGTTGGCATCCTCCAGCCTAATACAGTTTCTGTGCCTTTCACCATGTCACCTGTTCAATTGGGGAAATAGTTATAAAACTGGCCTTCCGCTTCCTTATCAAAAGGCGAAGGAGCCCCAGCCGGGGAGGAGCTGTCGCCACTGGAAAGGTAGGAGGACACACGCCTCCGCTTAGAGTCTCCTTCGCCCAGTCCGGACTCACTGGATTCTAACCGAATGGAGGTGATCTCAGTCCACACTGAGGGAGTTCCCTGGTCCTCTGGCCCCCGGCCCTCCAAAGTACCAGGGCCAGGTTCCATGGGCAGAGTTCGCATGGGGCGGAACCAGCTGGCTGGGCCCATCTTGGGAGGGTACTGGGGAGCCACAGGCCAGGCAGTGCCAGGTGCCAGGACTTCCTGACCTCGGTAGTAGGACAAGTTGGGCCCAGGGGCGGAGGGCAGGAATGTAGGTTTCATGCTGACAGCCTCATAGCTGTGGTCCCGGGGGGCTCCAAGCCAATAAGGCTGGGGAACCACATCCTTGGCCTGGCCAGGAAGGTCGGGGTAGAAACGGCTGGGGACAGGATACTGGTTGGGTAGGAGAGAAGAGTAGTGGTCTCCCCCAAGCAATTGACAGTTGGTTCCAGGCGGGGAGGGTACGCTGGTGTCAACAGATGCATACATTCTAGTGAAACAGGAAACAAGAATGTGGGAATCACAGCAGAGCTGGCCTACCAATTACATGTCCTTTACCCGATCTTCGTTCCCCGGCCTAACCACCCTGCAGCACCCACCTCAACCCTGTCCCACCCTTAGGAGCAGAAGAGGATATGCTCAGGCTGGAGATAAAGTAAAGACACAGCACGGAGGCACACACAGAGCAGGTCTCCAAGCTAAGAAAGGACCAAGAGAAGGCCCACTGTAAAGATGCACTGAGCCCAGTAGCACTTACGACTCAAAGTTCTCCCGAAATCCTTTGGCAAAAGGGTTATTATCAATTTTCAGCTGAGTTATCTAGAGAGAAGGGAAAGAGAGTCCTGAGTCTGGGTAGAGAGAGCTTCCAAACTCCCTCCCAGGGAAGACTGTGGCCCCCTTTCCATCCCCCAGGAAGCCCTCACCTCGGCATTCTGATAGGCCGTCACAGCAATAAACTGTGTTTCTTGAAAAGTAAAGATATGAGAGTTGGATGCGTTGCAGGCTGCCTCCGGCTCGCTATCATTCACCTCGACGATGTGCAACCGGGGCTGGTACTTGTGGAGTGACTGAAGCACTATCATCTGCAAGGAGAGTAAGAGTGTGGTATGGGGGGGAGGGGGAGGGCACCATCCATAATCTGCTGTTCCTGCTGCAGGAACATCCACCTGCCCTGCCACCATGTGACTTCTAGTCCTTCCAATTCCAGAGTCTCTGGCCTCGTTGGAGATCGAATTCTAGTCTCTTCTCCCATTTTCTATTCCAAGATGTCCATTGTAAGCAAGGTATTGGTACAAATAGGGCTTTTCGGTTTAAGGACATTTTTTAGGTTCTTAACAGGATTGTTCAATCTGGAGCCCTCTGCATTCATTCCGTGGAAACACTGGGGCTCACACTTCATGAGCCTTGGCAGCCCAGGATTCTGGGACAAAGCCCCCCAGGCTGACTTGGCCTGTGTCTGCCTGAACGTGACCCCTGCCTGAGGGTCATCTGTCTCCCTGAAATGCAGCTTCCTCTCATCTCATCATCCTCCCAAGAAGGGTAGAAAAGAATCGAAGTGTTCAGAGAGGAAGAGAAGTCAATTTACAGAATAGAATCAAGATTCACTGTGGTCTCAGGGCCTCAGACTCATATCTGTGGTGGAGGTCCTACCTGGGTCACATTGTTGGAGGCTCCCTTGTTGTTTGTGAGCTTCAGTTTCCCGAATGAAACTTCCTGGCGCATCCAGTGGGCTCCAGTGTTTGGTGAATCGGGGTGAACATACAAGCGGTTTCCTGTGGACAGTTCATCCTTTTGGCATGCAGCCCACAGGACCAGGCTCCTGGTGATGCGGGGCTTTGCCTGTTCTTAATTTTCTGAGGGGATGTAAGAGGGATGCAGGAGGAGGACCAGAGGGGACAGGACAGCAGAGGTGTGGGCAGAAGTGTTCAACTGCAATCACTCAAACAGTTAAGTTCTAACCTTTGATACTTGTGAATGTGACCTTATTTGGAAATAAGGTCTTTGTAGATGTAATCAGTGTACAAGGAGGTCATACTGGATTAGGATGGGGCCTAACCCAATGGCTGGTGTCCTTCTAAGAAGAGAAGGAGAGACACAGAGACACAGAGACCCAGAGAGGAGGTCATATGGTGACAAAACAGAGATCAGAATGAAGCATCTACAGGCCAAGGAACACCAACGACTTCCAGGGAGCTGAAAGATGACAGAAAGAGTCAAGGAAGGATTCTCCCCTAGAGCTTTGGAAACATGGCCCTGCCAAAACCTTGATTCAGATTTCTAGCCTCCACAACCTTGAGACAATGCACGTCTGCCATTTTAAGCCATTCATGTCTTAGGAAGCTAATACAACAGGTTACAGCAAAAGTGAAAAGAAGCAGCAGCAACAAAAAAACAGAAATGGGAGGTGGGATTGGCTGGGGTGATACCAGGTGGAACCGGAAAATTCAATTGGGCTGGGGTTTGAGGATTCCTCCTGGACCCACCAGGGGGCGCCCCAGGCTAGAGAAAACAAAGCTCCCACCCAACTTCGGAAAGCCACATACCTGGCATGCTGCCCTCCGCCTTTCCGCATTGTACCCACTTGCCACTCTGATACCGCCAGTGGTGCTGGTCCACCAAGACCACGTCCACGAACATCCGGTAATGGCTGGTGGGCTCCAACCCAGCCACAGTAAATGACAGGAATGGGAACATCCTCCTGGGGAGAAGAGAAAGCTCACCAATATGCCATCAGCTTCACAGTCAGTAGTGTGCTGAAGTTGGCTGCCCCTGACTCACGAGAATCAACTGTAAAATGTTCAGGAAGTATGCAAGCCAGTGGGTAGACACAGCCCTAATTATAAGTATGTTATAGAAACATACAATTGTTGTTGTTGTTAAGTGCCAGTGAGTCGGTTCCGACCCATAGCGACCCTGTATAGATTTTCTAAGGAGCAGCTGGTGAGTTTGAACCATCGACTTTGGGGTTCAAACCAACTTTGCATTCCAGTGCGTTAACCCACTGTGCCACACCAGGACTCCAACTTACAATGAGATCTAATATATTTAAAACCAAGGTAATAAATACTCAAAAGCCATTGCTACCAATTATTTATCTAAGCTCTTGAGGTTATTTATAGTTATTGAATCTAGGTAAAATGGCAACATAATGGAAAACCACTCTTCCCAGGGACATGTTCAGCCATATCACTGAAGTCGTGGCTTGAAGTCAGCCATGGTAGCAGTATTTACACCACAGAAATCAGCCAACATTACAAATCAAGGTTTTTAATTCTCTCGTTGTTGTTTAGAAGACTAATTCGTAACTATTTACCAACATGGCACTGTCTCAAACCTTAGTTTGCTTCGTAGGAGAGCGCTAAGCCACTACCACTGATAATTATCCACTGATAATTCCTTACAGGACCTCATGTCTCAGTCTCCAAGCCCTGGTCTGGCCTCAGTTCCTCATTCGTCCTCTCCACAGTGGCTGTCACTGTGCTGGCTCACCCTTAGCTCCACGGCACCCTCCCACACCACCCTCCTTTCCCCTCCTTCTGGGTCTGATGTCTGTGGTCTGACCTATCCCGAGGCTGGGATTTCAGAGAATGCCCCATCCACCTAAAGAGGGGTCTTTATGCTCACAGGTCTGGTTCTAGGAGGAAATAGAGGATGTTTTGGAGTGGGACCCAGCATTTGTCGCCATTCCTACATTAGTCCAGAGGAATGGACTAAGGTAAAGAAACACTTCCACACCAAGACCATCTCGATCACTTCCGCCATCACTAACCTCATTACCATCCTCATTACAACTTACACAGCAGCAGCATCACCACCATCACCACCTCCACTATCACCATCACCTCCACTATCACCATCATCACCTCCACTATCACCACCATCACCTCCACTATCACCATCACCTCCACTATCACCA